AGAGACTGCAATTCTCTAAATACTATTCAAATCTGTCGGCCAGCAGCGTCGGATTCTCTAAATAACACGAATACCTAATTCCAATATTCCGGTGTTTTAAAAGAATCACGAACGCACGATCTTGACTTTGAAAATAAAGATTGAACACTGAGAACAAGACAATTTCCAAAAAACAAGCTCCGAACTGCAGCCGAAAATTTGCAATTTTAGTGCAATGAGAGTAACGATAGTAACAACGAACGAAAGAAGAGAGGAGAGGAGGAATTCCCAATTTCGTCAGAAGTTAAATAAACATGTCTTTGTACAGAATGCGCTCACAGTGTGAATTTACAGATGATAACTATCTTATGATTAATCTTATGATTAACTAAAACTAAACGCAAACTTACAATTAAGACGCACGCATCCCACGATGTCCCTGTGAGATCCTTCGTCGTTCCACGGTGCCCCGCAAGATCCCTCGTCGTCCCACGGTGCCCCGCTGGGGGGTAAAATAGTTTACTTATCAACTAATTGTCCCTACAGTTCAGTTTAGACCGTGAAATAAAAAAAGGAAAGAAATTTGCACGATCCAAACTGAACTGTAGGTTGCGTAGTTCTTAGCTCGATATCGTTTTACAAACGTTAACGATATCAATTACCAAGACCCACCACGTGGAGGTGACTACGCACGGGTCTCGTTATACTACTGCATTGTAAATCAGTACTGTTTTATATATTTGTCACACCATTGTCATGATTTGTATTGAATTTAAGTAATTTGGAAAGAGAAAAGATGTTGGTAAAATAAGGCACAATTATTTGATCAATCTAATGACTAATTTGAGATATTGAATAAATATTCATGTTTGACAAATAGTAAAGGATTAAATTATTTTCCTTATAGATTCAAAGAGAAGTACTGAAAGTATCTAATAATATTTAAATAACAATAGTATCGTTAGACTAATGTTATCCATGTACATCCAGAAATATAACGTATATTATGGTAATTATTAAAGAATATCTCATGGTAACTATCAAAGTATATCTTGTACAACCACGATACAAGTCATGGCAATAGAGCTTGTATTCAAGTACAAATAATCACGATGATAATGAAAATAATTAAATAATTACAAAAGTGATTAAAATAATTCGTTAATGATGCGAAACCGTTAATTAAAATTTGTTAGAAATGTATTAGTGGCTCGATTACTACAAATGATTAATTAAAAATTTTAAACGGTACTTAGAAATGTTATAGAAGAGAATTTATTGTTTAATTGTTACAAATAAATTATTTGAAATATTAGATAACGTTTGAACAATTAGAATATACAGGAATATTATATGAAAATTTACTTCTAAAATTTGTACACAGCGAAAGTTCCATTCTTACTGAGCTCTCATTTCCGTATCGATCGAAATTATACCTGACCACGTTGATCGATCGAAACAGTTTACTAAAATTAGAAAATAGAAACGCAACAAATTCTCAACTGGAAATTTTAAACAGCTGTTGGAAATTTTAAAGTTTAAGTGGAAATTTATGTATAATTTTTATATCGACATATAAAAATTTTCGCTCGTTTATTGTTTCAGAGAGCAAGAAATATATGTATTATAACTATCTATTCCGTTATTCTAAACAATATAATGTAATTATTGCAAATGAATTATTCAAACTATGAAACAATGCTTGGGAATTCAATCACTAATTCAACTGTTATAAGCAAATAGTTAAAATTGTTAAATAATATACAAAAATATCATCGAAATGCATTATCTTGCAGTTTGAATAATCCATTTGAAACAAATTATTTTATTTCTACAATATTTCTAGACACTGTTTAATAATTATCACGACTCTTATATTAAACGATTAAATAATTAAATTAATTAATTCAATAATTCAAAGTCATTCCTCTCAAGTACATTGTTCAAGATTCTTATAAATTATTAAATATTTAAACGGCCGTTAAACGTTTAATTAAGATTTACACGATCGGATGTGCGATTAAGCCCTTGTCCTCGGCCGTGTCTCCTTCCTCGGCTCTCGTGCCGAGTGTGTTCCAGTGTCGAACGCGTCTTTTCACAACCGACGACGACGCCTCTCACTGGTGAATGGAGTCCGGTGGCGTAATTACAGTGGCAGAATTTACACCGGCATAAATTACGGGCCGCGAGTCGACGACCTATAACTCTCTAGCTAGCTGGCCCGTTTTCACCTTAGCGCGAATTAATTGTGGCTGCTGGCGTGAATGGGCATTGACGGGAAAGCGAAATGGCTGGAAACGTACCGGGGAACTCATTTCTGGCCGCGTTTTAATTAATACGTTCGCCACCTGCCGCGAGGGACCGAATATGATAACGAACCCCCCCCTCCGCGTCGTCGAGTGTCGCGACCTGATAATATAAATACCTTAAGTCGTATCCACGACGATTTTTTTCCATATGCGATTTGAACGTATGTCGAATGTAATTATCGGTGGTGCGTGGCTGAATTTCTTGTAGAAATCTTTTGATCTGATCGTACAGTGGCTCGCGAAAGTATTCAAACATTTAAGCACCGAAAGCACCGAATATCTATTTTGATATTTTATTAACGCTGTAGTTAGAGCGAAAGACTGATTGTAAAATTAGAAAATATTTATTGCAAATATGTATTTAGTAAACGATTGGTACATAGCGTTGAATTCTTATTTGTTTGTTTCAACTTTGATTAATATAATTATATATAATTATAATAGTCGAATCTTATGTAAACAACTTATGTAACGTGTTGTTTAACACTCATTAAAAAGTTACTTTAACACTTAGTAAAAGGCTTTCGTGAGCAATGTTGAATCAGGAGAATCAGCAAAATAAATCTCTTTTTACTTTTTACTTTTTTATCCCTCTTCGCCAAAGACACTTGGTAACGCGTTTTTTTAGAAAATTTTCTTCTATCGAGAAAACTATCTTGAAGTTTTATAAACGAGGCATTCAATGTATTTATACGTCTTAAATAGTTCGTGAAATAAAACAATGCATTTGCGTATGAAAGAAGATGCCAAGAATTTTCATCAACATCAATTAAAAAGTTCCTTACTACGAGTTTACCATGCTCCCTTCTTATATGTAATAAATATGTAATTAGTATAGTCTCTTCTTCAAAATTTCATTGAATAAAATGCGACGGCGAGAAAATAGTTTGGATTACAGTTAATTTTTAACAAGAAGATTACGTTTTCGAAGATGGATTCTTCAATGATTTAGCATCGTTTGATTTAATCGACACGTGCAATGAGGAGGTATTGGATTAATTATTGATCCACTACGGAATCTTCCTGACGTTTCTTCGTACCGCGAATCTAATTACATTTACGTTACTTAATAATTTCTCTCTATCCCTAGTAACAAGAAATATTTAATGATTTAACGTTCGAATCTTCCATTTGATACAACGTTCCGTTACTAGTTGATTAACTTCTCTATAGCTAATATTTCTTTGATCACTTGATCAATCGTTAGACAGACACTTTGATAAAAAGAAGAATTACTGCAAAACAGTCTTATATAGTACCATGTATATCTATAGTGAGAAAAACTCATTAATTCCTCGAATTGAAAATTGTCTTGGCTAAAAAAATTTATCTTATCTTTGAATTATTAAATTTTTTTCGAAATGAATTACCTTGGTGTTCACGTTATTTTGAGATGAAAGAGATGTCAGTTCAAACTTTTTGTATTAATAAAATTCATCTTTTATTCAAAGAATCCGTTCGAGCACTAGTCTTCTACTGCTAAAATCCATTTAAAATCAATCTTTCGAAGTTTAATTTTTACACAGATTAGCTTAAATTTAAATTGTACTACAAAATAAAATAGGAGGGATTATTTTTCGTAGATAATCAAAAATGTAAGATCAATGAAAATGTGCCGAGTGAACCATGATAACAGCTAGAAACAAATTTAGTAGAATTTTTTACAAAATTCGAATCCTAAAAGTTCCGACTTCTGGTAAATTTAAACTTTTATCAAAATTAGTTTAAGTTACGATCGATATTACACGATTCTCTTTTGTAGAAGTAGAAGAAATCATAATGAAGTATAAGGAATTATAGTTTGCATTGGAACCGGAAATGTAGAACAGATAAGACGTATTCACTGTGTCTACATTTTCCTCAAAGACTGTAACCTTAATGCATTCTCATTTTCTAGTTGATCCTACAGCTCAATGAGATTTCCAAAACTAACCTCTTGCGCTGGAATGACGTGAGACGCATGTCGAGAATTTTTTGTCCCAAAATTGCAATTGCTATTTTCTCAGTTTTAAGTATATTTAAGTACAACCCAGGCAAAACAAATAATAAATTTATTACTTCACGATAATTTCTATCCAATGATATCACGGTTTGGTCACTCGTTATGGTCCGCAATCAGTTGCCAGCTCAAGTGCTTAAATAGAAAAAAAAAGAAAAAGATAAGACATACACCATTTCCCGCAGTAACACTCCGCGAAATCACGTCTAATCGGAAAGAGTTAAAGACCCTAGAAGGGTTGAGGAGCGCGTGTCGGTCGGGGAGTTCCTCGGTGATTCGCGTGGTTCGCAGCGTCGCGTCGCGTTGGCAGCGTCGCGCCAGCCTCTGGGGTATATCTCTCCTATTCGCTCGGTCGTGGGACGTCCCCTCGTGAATCGTGGCCGCTCGATCGTCTGGTGGGGCAACTCTAGGAGTAGTTGCACGTGGTGGTCGCGTATCCTCCGGCGAAATTTCGGTCGCGTCGTCTGTACGCGTGCACAAACTGGAGAGGAGGTCTCTCCCTCTCTCTCTCTCTCTCTCTCTCTCTCATTCTCTCTCGTCTCCGTTCTCCTATCCTTGGCGCTCGTCAGGCTGCAGAGGTCTGGGTAGGGCGAGAATTCTTAAGGCAGCGATGTAGCGGTGGTGGTGGTGGCGATGGTGGTGGTAGTGGTGGTGGTGCACAGCTGCCGACGACGACGCCCGTGTCGCTTTGGTGGTGGTGCCGCCGGTGGTGGTGGATGCTGCTGGTAGTATAGTAGTAGTAGTAGTAGTAGTAGTAGTAGTAGTAGTAGTAGTAGTAGTAGTATTAGTAGTAGGTAGTAGCTCTTGGTAAGAGCACATCGTACCACCTCCCATTTCGTTCTCTCGTCGTGGCTGGCACACGGCTCTTTAGCTATACTTTCGTACGGCAAGCCGTCGTCCTCGTCGTTCAGTCGGTCGGCCGCTACACGACGCTCGATCAGCCGATCAGCTGTTCTCCTTTTACGCACCGGTTCGCCACCATCCGGACCGCGGCACCGAATCTCTGACACTTCCCTCGCGGTAGCGTAGCCTTCCGACTCTTTGCCCACTTTGATCACCGATTAACCCGTGCCACGTAACGACGCGTAAAGGTGCAAGGATACGAAGGTGGTCGAATATACGCGATCCTCGAAGTTGATGCGCGAACGACACCCGAGAGTCGACTATGTTCGAGCTCGCACGTGGAGCGAACGAGAGGACGCGTGCGACGGCCAATACATCTTTGAAGCCTGTTGTTTCTGACACCATGATCTCTGCTTGGTAGATTCGCGAAAGTGGCACAAGTTTCGCAGAAATGTCGATGTTCAACGCTGATTACCGTTTGGTTAAACTTTGTTTGATCCCGTTTCTGGATCTCTGATTTGCTCTTTTCAACTTGAATTGAAACGTCTCTCGAGTGACGAGGTAAACGCAATTGTAATTTATTACTCGATACAGTTGTCGATACAGCGAGAAACTTGTACAGTTCTCGTTCACCGTTGATCGAAGAAGACCACCAGTGTGATTCGTCGAAGTGATATCGAAGTGCACGCGAGTTTGAGCAAACGAGGATCGTCGCGAAGTGGTGTCACGAGTGAGAACGGATCGTGGTTGTGCGATGTGCGGGAGAAAATAGTGTTGGAAAGTGGTTATCGCGAACGATCGCGTGACTGTCACGAATCTGGCACCGGAACCCGGCAAACTGGAGATCCTAGGGATGTTCCCGCCGCGAACGGAAGCGCCTACAGCCGACAAGCTGGCGCTCTGTTACGCGCCCCACGTTGACATGACCACGGTGATCGAGGTCGAGGTGTGTTTTCATGAAAAATTTTACGATTCTCTCTGTTCGATCCGATCCTCGTTTTGTGAAATATACAAATGATATTGATGATTACTTATGCTGGAACGGATTTTTCGAGGAAGTTTGCGTCATTTCAGGAGTAAAGGTGCAATTATTTGCAGCAATGGCAGGTGGAATTTAAACGTCAGAGATTAAAGTGATAGTGACAGCAATTATCTAAAATTAAACAAGTTAGAAAAGTTTACTTCTTCTAATATTCAATATTTCGTTGACAATGTCATTTAATTATACTTGGAAATTACAGTTGTAATTGTACACACAGTATTATTTTTTTCGGAAAAGTGCACGAAAAAGCATTGCTTCGTTCAGAAAGTAAAGAGTGCTCCAAACTCTTGAGTGGGAACGTATAAAAAAAGAAAAGAAAAGGTTGAAGCAAATATGTAGATTGTGAAACCAAGGTGATGATAGTGATCAACTTTTGCGATTAATCATCTGTTTACCTACGAAAAGATACAAATTATAGCCAATTTCGCAGCTCGAAGAGAAAGAGGATCCTCGAGGAGCGTTTCTTGGAAGCATTATTCATGCACTGATTACTCTCAAGCAATACGTCAAAAATATATGGGAATATAATTCATCATTCACTCGAATTTCTAAAGAGCCACGTCGTGAAATACGATTTTAGACGTAGCTTCATCCTGGATGATGCGTAAGGAGTAATTCGTAGAACACGATCCTTCCTTCGCGATCATAATCAGAAAACAAACATCTACTTCTCTTACGATCCAATCACCGTTGTTAGATTCAATCCAAAGAAGTTTAGCAATGAAAACACGTGTACTAGACTTTCGATCAATCGAGTTTTTCAGAGTCTGTCACGTAACTATCTTCCGCGAGCTTTGAAAATACTGCACCGTGTTACATGATCCCACGATAGTTGGCGGAAATAAAACTTTCACTGCGCGATGAAAAATATCCTCTGCCGTAATATGTTCGAGCAAGGCGTGGCAGAAAATCGAAGTACTATTGGGTACTAGATGCAACTGTTTCTCTGCAATTTAATATTTCAATACAATTTTTTCATTCGCATTTAAATTTCTGTCAAAGTATTGCAGCGTCGATCCTCTGCAATTGAATTAATATCTTATTTTTATGTATATGATAGAAACTAAGAAATATTAGTTAGAAATTATTTTGTAAATATTCTGGTAAATAATGAGCAACCAAAGATTTAAAAAAATATACAGATAGAGGAAAATTACGCAGGGTCAATACTAGAATATTAGAACTATTGATGCGACTTGAAATAAAATTGCAACGGATAGAAAAAAATTTATACTACAACCTACGATAGATTACTAGAACCACAGATGAAAAATTATATTGCAAGGGAATTTAAAAAACGCAACAAGCTTTTACTAGTATATTATTTATAAATTTATTATTTACTTCTTATTTCCAAGCTGCTTGTTTTGATATTAACTTTTTTACTTTTTATTCTTCGTACTAACTTCATGTTCTTCTTTTTCATCGTGTTCTGTGTAAATGTTTGCTCCGCGCATTACACATCTTCGCACCAAATTCGAGTTCCAGCAACCGACACCAAATAAAATTCAAATTACAATTTTCCCAGCTCCGACATGAAAGATGATTAAAAAACGAAATAAGAGAAAAAATTTCGAAGAGTTCACGCGGTGGTTAATTCCTCTTCTAGTCACTCGTTCGTATATCTGCGATCTGTCGATTTCGACATGGCGGCCGGCTTATTGGTTATTAATTATCTACTTGTCATACGCGGCAAGAAGAACGATTTCTCCCGGCGTTACCGATAACTATCTCAACTGGGAAGTTCGGCCACCCGTCTTGTAAAACGAATCGGCCGTTTCCAAGTTGCTCGCCGGCACAAAATTTTTATGCGTGTCAGATCGTTTCGATCTTGATCCGTCGCTCCTTTCCTGACCTCCGCGATCTACGCAGCTCCTCAATTCCTAAATTACTCTCTTCGATTCGATCAATCACAGCGGTGCGCTGGCATCATGACGATTTTCATCTTCCCGAACGACACGATCCCGACGAATAACCGGCATTCGAATTGATTATTCAACGAGGAGGCTCAATCGAGATCGATTGATAGTAACTGGACTATTATCGCTGTGGATACATATATTTCTTTTTAATGTATTATTGCAGTATCGCTGTAATTTTCTACCGTTCCAATTACCTTCTCTATCGTTGCTCGACAGGAAGCGGTTCCAACATTTGCCTATTCGTCCCCTGTATCGTGTCTTTTAAATTCGACTCATTATCAAACTACAAGTTTCAATCGTTTCTCCAAACGATTTCCTCGAGACAGTGTGCACGTAGGTGTACACGTATCGAATTCTCGATCAGTCCATCATGGATTGAGCAATTTATCTACTAGACTGCGGATTTCTATTTTTCAAGGGTACAAAGATGAAATTTATTTTTTAATTGTTGTTAAATATTACAGAAAACACAATACTTGTATTTTGTGTGTTCCACTTACTTATATTTTTTTATGTTATAATGCATTCTATGTGATTTTTAGATAATGAAAATTTTCGGTATCACAAATATTTCGATTTCTTTGTGTTTCATAAAATTGTAGAGTCTGAACGGGAAGGGATACTGAACGAATTTTTAGAGTTTACGTTCACAGTCGTAACATTAAAAACAGAAATCAGTGGTTTAAGTCAAATCTTACTCATCCAATCACCTCGTAGTTGACGCGACTTTTATAATTATCTTGCAACGGGCCGAGATTCTGCCCGGCCGATGTAGATTTCGAAATAACGATTTGGAAAGCGACTTGAAGACCGTCAAGGCCGAATTTTGTCTCGTTTAAACGGCCGGTATCGAGCAGATTAGGGGTTATGATGGTGTTTGGCCAAGTGAGAGTTCCCTTTTATAACGGGCCTTTCCGCTTAATTTTCGGCCTGCCGTTGTTGAATTCCGTTACCAACCGTCTCTCCTCGATAATCGAATTCATCCTCCTGCTGCGTCGCGATTTTATACACCGTTCACGAATCGTATCATACATTTTATCAATCTTATCTTCTGAAACCCTTCTTAAAGAAGAATGGCGGCGGAATTACAAAAGACAATTAAAGGTTTATAAAATATTGTGACGCTATTGTTTTTTTTTAAGTTTTTTTAATTTAGTTAAAAAGAATATGCATGCGTTGAATATTTCTATCTGTCTAATCATCTAATAGATGATTATGTACAACAACGGAAGAATAGATACAACAAAATATCACAACAATATTGGAGCAGATATATCTGTGATAATTATATGCTCATTGTATCGTGTGACGTAAGAACGATATTCGAGTTGAAAATTAACCGAAAAATGCCAGTTGAATGCCAGAAATATGGAAAAATGACTAATATAATTTGTTGTAATGCCAATCGTGATAATTGCTGAATATTCCTTGCGCCAGTTTAAATACTCCAATACAAGATAAATCTATACTGAACATATCACTCAATATAGATTCAGTATATTTTGTATTTTATTAACTTCTTTGTACAAACATCCGCAATGTATTGAGTGACTTTATTTCTAAGCAAGTCTTTGGAATAGAAAAAACGAATAGTACACTCACTCTTAAATTGCCTTACATAATTGCACTTGACAAGCGACACTGATTATGAGAGAGATCGTCGTGCGAATAGCGAAAAAACGGTACGTGTTAGCCCTTTCGAGGCTTATAAAGGTGTATCGAGATCGTATCCCAAAAACAGAAACCTGACACCGATATTTAGATATTCCGCCGATATTTAGATAAATCAGAGGAAGATAGTATCTACTTGATTGCGAGTAACAACACCAGTAAGCATTGCATCGAGTGACCACGTGAATCAAATTAGGTTCCGTTTTCATTGACCGAGAGATCCACACAGAAGCGACGTAATTTTGGAAATTACGTCGATGCTGTTTCGTACTCTCTGTCTCTGACGCGAATTGCGAATTTTGATCGTGAATAATACCTACATCATGTTCGTTCTGATGAGAATAATTTCCGTAACCTTCCGGACAATATATTCACGAAAATAAATAAATATTCATTGGAACATTTTATGAATATATTGTGTGAAACATTTTAAAATTTTATTGTAACTGTAATAAGAATCAACGAATCGATGATCATATTAGATTATAATATAATTATTAATATATTCAGTTTTTGCTCAATCTTCTTGAATTCATATATTAATTTATTACTAAATATTGGTCTTAAATTTTACTAGTATAATCATAATAATCGTCTCGCAAAGCTAATGAAATTTCTAAGTATTTTGTATGGCACATTCTACGATAAGTATATAGAATTGAACGTAGTAACTGAAATAAAATTTTTCCTAAATGCTTAATTCCTGTAATGTCTGAAAACCACAAAATATCTACCTTGTTACGTAAACTATATAAATGAATTTCTAAATCATCTCAGGCCCATCTAATAATATTCCCTTTCATTTCGTTTTTACCAATTATACAGACCGAAAAGTCCATTCGTATGTACGTACATTTTCAAAGGTGAAACATGCTTAATCACAACTCGGCAATTTGCTTCGATGATCTTACGATTTGTGACTGATATTTCATACAATCGATAATTCACAGAGATCCTGATGTAACCAGCGTTTATTAACGGAGATACTTATCGAAATTTTGTAGAACTGTGTGCGTCTTACGACAGATATTAGAAAAAAAAAAAAAATTGTTTTCTCTTCGTGGAAATATCGAAAACGATACGGGTCAGTGTACCTAAAATGGTTCAGAATTGATGATCGAACGCAAAACGATAATTATTTGCTCATAAAAATTTCAAAGGCGATGCAAAACGATTGTAGAAGGCTTGAGAACTTTCTATAACAACGTTCGAACACTGTAATTTTACTCTACCAGAAGCTTCAGTTTCTCTATTCCTGTAGCGAGCTAACTTCGTTAGAAACGTATGTTTCTAAAAAAGAAGAAATATGAAATACTTCGTAGAAACTAATTCTACTGAATTTTTTTATCTGACCTATGAAATGGATGGCTGAAAATCGACAATTTCCTTAGATACGTAATTGAAACTGTGCGGATAATCTAATTCGATTAATTTCAATTTATAATTTCATATATGTAGTCAAGTATGATATAGTGTATACTATAAATACAAATGATACATTATGCAGTTTCCGTGACATAGATATAAGTATGATACATCAAATACAGATGTAACGTTGCGGTGTTTCTGAGTAAATAAATTGTCACGTCAAAAATATAAATTACCAGACAAGTTGCATTACCTCATCCGTTTGATACGATAATTAATCTTATTGGATCATCGCAGAGTTGCACATCAGGACATGGGAGACAGCAAGCTTAATTTGATTAAACGAAAAAAAAACTGTTCGATCTAAAGAATTACGTAACTTTTACACAGTTACACGTGCTTCTTCGTATTTATAAATTAATTGATGTTATCGAGTCGATAGATAATTGTAATACTTTGAATCGTGAATTTTTGAATTAGGTGATTCAATTTTAAGATCTTCTAATTTAAGTTAGCGTATTTTACAATGAAAGAATTAAAGAGCGTATTAAATAATTTAACCGAAATTGTGGATCATCCGCAATCCAACGATATCAATTAAGAACTAAAAATTGATAGATTTTGTTCACCTGCCGTTGTCCAAAGTATTTCGAACTTCCTCATCCATATGCCACAAATAAACTGCGGGTTTTTATGTATTTTGTAAAAAATTGGAACGCGAAAAAAATATACATGTAATATGAAAAATATCCCAAGTAGAATATTTTTTACAATATACAGCAAATAAAACAAATTTCGTAAAAATTAAAAAGAAACTGACAAAATGAAATGAAATATTCGTAAAAATGTAAAGTAAAGATTGATCAGATAAATTAAAGAATGAAGGAAATCGCGAATTTATGAATGCCTGGAACGGATTTCCTCGTAGCTGCTCGTCGCATTTGATAACCATTTTATCGCGTTATCAAAAAATTTGTAGTCAAGTATCGTTCGACTTTAACAGGATTTTTTTCAAGAAAGATCTGCACCACGCCTATATTCTACCCTATTTACGTTTCGTTACACGCGAAAAGACTTGTATAGTATTTATTCGCGTTTATGTTCACCATCTTTGAGGAATAAGCACCGATGTCTCGCTTATAGTAACGGCAGACCTCCAACGCGGCACGATTTCTTTATCTTTCTTTCTTCTCCCAATTCACATTAATCACTGCAATTACCGGTGGCCAGTAATTTTTTAATAGCGGCGAAAGTTACGCACGACGACGAACGCGTATGTGTATTGACGAACAGAGGTCTATCTTCGCTCGATTTTATTATGGTTATTACTTTTTATTTGCTGCGTTTTTTTCTTTTTTCCCTTTTTTTTTCGTTTCTTTCTCATTCAACGAGCTCCGATATATGTATGTAAGATTGCTGGGAACGATTGAGCTTACGAAGAACAATTTTAGGTCTCTGAACGCGGACATATTTTTATAAATTGTACCCTCCAAACGCACTCCTCATTTTTAAAACTAACAAAACACTGATCGCCATAAGGTTAAAATCGCTTGCTCTCTGTTTTCCACGAAACTTCATTAATTTAATCTTCCTTTATTCTCGTACTCAACAAATTATTTTATTCTCGTTCATGTTACTTTAACATTCTTCTATCCATTCGTAAACTGACATTAAAATCGACCAAAAAGATATCCTAAATGGAAATATATATAAATATGTTTCTGTCACAAGTATTAGCTGTATTTAAAAAGATGAGAGATTAAAGTTTCAGAACTCAATGATACACGCTGTCCTAGATAGATACGGAAGTTCGTTCTAAACGGAACTGCGAACGTCGCAGAAATGTCTGAGCTCTACCACTAGATACACCCTAAAATATCGTTTAAATATAATAAACATTAACACACGGTAGAACTCGTCTGACAATTGGTTTATACAATTGAAATTCACTCGTTTTTCTCATATTCTCAAGTACTCATATTCGAGCTCGAAAATTACGTCTATATATAATAAGTGGAGTTTGTACAAACAGAGTTCTACCGTATGATAATAATGTATGCAGTCGTTAACAATACGTATTAACAAACATTAAGGAAGTGGATGTTTTCTTTGAACAGGACCGACTGACTGGTCACGGGGGCATTTCCTCGCTGGGCGGTGGAAATTCCTCGCCGTATTCCGGCGCCCATCACCACGGTCACAGAGGCAATGGAAACGGGAGCGGGATGCCCCATCACGGGGGCGCATCGTTGCCCACTGCCTCCGATTTTCAACCACCGTACTTCCCGCCCCCGTTCCCCTCGCATCATCACGCGCCGGCGAGTCCTCAACATCCGGGCCTTGGCCAGCCGCAACATCTCGATTACCTCGTCGGCGATCCGTACACGCAAACGCTCAACACGTTGCATCAACATCACTACAATCACTTGAGCGTCGCTGTAACGACCGGTCAGAGGAGCGGCGATCTCAGGAGGGACGCGGAGAGCATCCACGTGGTGAGTAGTCGCTTCGATGAGCTGTTAGCACAATGTGGTGTTTGAAAAAAAAAAAAAAAAAGAAAAGAAAGTCTGCAATAGTGAGTAGTCCAACAGTATCGTTGAGTCGCAAAAAAGATTCTATGTAAAGATTTTATGTAACGTGCTACAATTTAGGACGGTTTAATTTCATTTTGTGTCTCACATTCTTCGTGATGGCAGAAGATTGTTCTCAACATTTCTTGTAATTCGACTTGTATTGTGACATGCAACTTGAGGATGTGTAATTCTTTTTTTACATATGTTTAATAAGTAGATCGTGAATTTTTATGCATTTATAGGAGATTTCAAGTGCGTAGACAAATAATATGGAATAATATATAAAATAGCCAACAAGTACAGTTCTTTTTATGTTATGTGATAGTAAAGGAATCTTTATACCCAAGTTCTATTTTCTTTCATTTGTATTCTCAAGAGTATGAATTTATAGCATAGAGATCCATAGTCATAAATATCTTATAAAAATCCCCTTTGTTGTATTAATTAACGAAATTAAAAAGGGCCCACATTCTCAGAAACTATACAAATGAATCTAAATTGACTATTCTAATTCCAATTGATTCCAACAATAACTTACTTTTAACAGAAAAATGAATTCAATAGAAAAAGTTTAATTTCTTCATTCTCAAAACTACACGCAGCATAAATGTCTGTTCTTTTAAAATACTTTGAACAGCTTGTCGTACGAAAAAGAAAAAAAAATTATAAAGCATCGCCAGAAATAAAAATTAGATCAAACCGAAAATTCGAAGTTCGTGATGTAAAAAAATTACAAAGGAATTAAAATTGATCGAATCACTAGATTATGGATGCTGGATCTCGCGATCATACGCAAACGCTGCCGAGGTTTTGCGTCAATGACGTTGCGCGATCATTCGACAAATTTATATTCCGATTCTAAGAAGATAACACGCTCTTGTGCGTTGCATCATTAGAAATATGAATATCTAAATATGCTGAATCGCACAGCACAACCGGTATAAAATTGCAACGACGTCTCGTCGGATCTTGTAATTATAATAATTCACTGCGAGACGCGTAAAGAGTACGGAGGAGAACTGTCTCTAGTTTTGCTTCACAATATTCATGAGGTAAAATTTTAAAATATAGGCGTAACCTTCTTCTTCTTTTTTATAACAAAGAGTGTTGTTAGGCTACACAGATCACTGATATACAGTTCGGAATTTTATCGCTTTCCCATCATCACGTTCGTCACGATCCTATGGTAAATAGTCATTTACAAATGCCATTTGCCGTGCATTAGACTCACGGTAATTAATACTTTTACGTTCCGTTGAAAAACGAAAGATTGATATCGTTGCTAAGTAGAAACTCGACGTTGTCGGAGTCAAAGGTTCGCTTAAAACGATCATATACAATCTTGGGATTACCTGTTAATTAGAATTTTTCTTCGATTTCGCGATATACATATTTTTAATATTCGTAAATATTAGCCTAATCAATTGGGGACACATTACATGTTTCTGAGGTACTAGTATTTTAGAAATATATGTTTCTTTGCAGAATGTATGTAAATCTCTCTAAAAGTCACGTAAAAATTCATTTTCAGTTAGTTAGCCTGATCAAATGAGTTTCTAGCAGTTGAATTAACTCGTTTAAATACAAATTCCTACTTATATAAATAAAAAAATAACAAATGATAAGAATGGCCTCTCAATGTACATAAACTCTTCGTGTAAACGAACTACATAGATCAATTAATTTACAAGTGCTTCAATTTCTTTAAAATTTTAAAAATTGCGAAAGAAATAGTGACAATGAGGTGTTGGACAAATATTAAGCGTATTAAAAAAAAAAGGGATAAATGTCCATAGCGTGTCAATTATGTAAAACAGCCTGAAACAGAAAATCTAGTACAATACAAAGAAATCAATCAGCAAAAATTCATTCTAAACGCATACTATTGAAAATATATCGCGACATGATATATTTCCGCGACTAACTATAATACTAAATACCACTCAGTTGCTCCGATAATCCTACGGAAATAAAATTCATTAATCATTCGACTACGAATCTCCAATTTTTTTTTTTTTTTTAAGTCCGAGTAGAAAGTTTTCGGTTGTTGAATATTGCAGCAAGTACTCTACTTCCAATAAGAAGGCGTTGCCGCATTAAATTTACCACATTACGAACAAAAGAAAGAAATGCACGTGCGTTACTAGACCTCGCGGAAATACAAGATGGTTCGATCGTCGAGGTATGGGCCTCGTGGTTCGTGGTTCGCGCGTAAAATCGAAGCGCGCGCGAAGATCCGGTCACGTGCACGTCCGGCCGGCTCATTAGAAAAGGCGCGCGGCGTGTTATTTGTAGGACGACCGGTTGAACAGCAGGGGGACGCATAATAATAGCCGGCTATCGATCTATTAGACGTATCGCGCGGCCAATAAGTCGGCCCGTGACATCGGTGATTGCGATCGTTGATCCCACGAAGAGCACGCGAGGAGACGAGACGCGCGACATTTGCATTTGCCACGGTTCTGCGTGCCTGCGGTCCCGCCGGACTTGATGGGCGCGGTAGTACGCGTCAGGTACTAGCGTAACTCGAAAGAAACTCTCGATCATCCACTCCTCTCGACTGCACTCGGGAGAACCGGCTGGCGGAGGAAGGCGCCGATGAATAAAACGACTCTATTTATTTCTGGTAAAACGAGTGAAATCCCTTTAATCCATTGTATTTAATATCGCGTAACATTCGAAATCACATCGACGTGGCTCTATTTTCAGTCACGATATGACGGAAGTCATACCTTGTTTTGGTGCTTTTCTTTCGTCACCGAACGGATTACTTACCGCAATTGTCCACTTTTACATGTTTTTCTTTTTAGAATGAATTTGTAAATTCATCTGTAGATTGATATTTGCTGGTTTCGAATTATACAATCTTATAAATATTTTGATGTAAACTGTAGAATATATAATAAACAAGATATTAAACGATCAGAATTGAATAGGCGTAGGGTGGCGGAAAATAAGGTTGAAGATTAAACTCTAAAAGATAAATGTAAAAAATACACAATGAATGCTTAGCAATGAATTAGGCTAACATCGCAAACACGCGGTTCTTGAAAGAAACGAGAGAATTGGGGGGGGGGGGGGGGAAGTTGGTTGAGACAGCATAGTGTCCGCTGATTCTGGTAGTCAGAGTAGAGAAATCTGAACGTGTGAGGAACAGATCAAACCAACGAGGAGTATCTATGATCGAAGCCAACATCCAAGTTAATAATTTTCAAAAAAAGAAAGCAACAAGCGCGAGATACGTGGCTTCCTTCTGCTGAAATTTAAAACATTTGAAACACATTGAAAAACCATGCATCGGAGATGATTATCGTAACTTAGTCCCGATTTTTCCGATTTGGAGGATGAAGTAGTTTCTTGTTTATCCTCGGATCGCGTGTTCCCGCCGCCTCGCTGTTAACCGTGGCACGTCGAACGTGAAGAACGGCATCGGGTTAAGTGTGCCTGCAGCGGGCTTTTTGTTTGAAGAGGTGCGAGAGAGAATTGTTTGCTCTAGCGGGAATCGTAAATACGCGAACGAATACATGGTCTGGCCGTGGCATAGTCGTGGCCTTCCTTAGTGGACACGGTCTATTTCCCCGGAGTAGAGAATTTATTTCTACTTTCGTCGTGTTTGGAGAAGTATTGACCGTTCGCCGATGGCTCGGCGGGGTTACAACGTCGGTTAGACGTGGAAGACGTTTGGAATTCTCTGTTGAAAGAGTCGTCGGAAGAAGATCGAGCTCGTAGGCCAGGATCAAATTTCTGAAAAGTTTCGGTTTGGGATAACGCGGATTTTGAAAATAACAGAAACGAAAGCTACGCGACAGAGAGATCGTCACGTTTTACTTCCCGTATCTTTGTATCTAAGATTTCTGCACAACTCGCTTAATTTTAAATTGTACATCATCGTAATATCCATGACACAGGCCATTAAATACAAGAGAGGAAGAAAAATGTTGAGAAATCTTGAAATCCTACTGCAAAATTTTTGTACATTTACAAGAAATCGGTTGTTGTTGCTCAGTGGATAAGACAGTTCTCCAAATTACACAGATACGCGCAATCTGCTGTGACCCAACTGTACCGACCACAGGTTAACAATTCAACGTTCGATTCAACTAATGATTTGCAATCTCGATTTAATCGGTAAAAATCAAGTGTACCGCGTTCGAAGGATCGAATGTCCCAAACAAACACCCGTCGAGTATATAACGCCTCTCTGCCCGTGGTAACGGAATACCGAGCTACCACCAGTATTTAGGAGGGGGGCAACTTCAGACCTCTAATAACGCTCACGATAATAGTATTTGTGGTACACCTTACCCCAATAGCTTTTATGAAAGTATCACCCTAATTACAGCGGTGGGACGTGCGTACGTCACCCTGGCGGATTATGTTTTCGACCGTTTCCATAGGTGTCGTGTGACGTTCGCGCGAGCGCGCGCGCAAAAAAAAAAAAAAGAGACCAGGCTCGACGAAACTCGACACGCGGCCGAAGAATACGTTTGGCCTCGGCAGTGATCGAAACTGGCCAAAAGAAGAGAAAAGCGGGTTCTCGGTTTAACGCATCTGTCCGCGCCATATGCAGGTCTCGTGTTGCCAGCCAGGATTTCTCTGTCGACGATTTGTTTATTTCACGCCTCGTGTAAAACGAGCGGAACACGGACGAGAATGTACACTTTGGTGTCGGTGGATGGTGGTGGGTATCGTTATCGATTCGCTCGCGCGTGCTGCGAATTCATAATGCCTCGTTCGAATTGAAATTTATTTGCCAATGTAATTATAAATGCACCGGTTTATTAATTTCATTTTGCTACAGGAAACTTGCAGCAATTTACGATTTACACTTTCGGCCGTTGGTGTTTATCACGCAAATGAAATTCGTATAATTTATCGAAAATAACGGGCGAATGTAAAAATCTAATGGATGCAATATGTAA